GGTCTGGAGAGAAAGCCTATCTCAATTTTCTTTTAGGGTCCTTATGTAGGGCAGTGTCTTCTGCGTGCAGTGGGGTTAAAAACATTAGACTAGGCTAGCTGGATCAGCGATGTCTTTAAATAACCCAGAAAACATCATATGAGAGCCTAGGAGCTGCCATAGCAGATGCTTAAGCTATTCATTATTGAATTCAATCACTATTAATCATTGAAGTTTCAGTGGGGTTCTCTAAGTGTTGACAAGAAAGAGGAGGTTTCTTTATGGAGTTCAATGAAGTCATTCTTCTTTCCATTGCCTTGTACAAGATCATTGCTGCTAATGCTATCCAATGAGAACCATGTATCTTTCTTTCTATGCTCCATGTACTTACAGAGTTTTCATAAGCTTGTTTCAATTGCAGCCTACATTTGTATGCCTCCGTCTTCACTGAAGGAACATTCCCATTTAGTGTAAGGAAAAAAATCATGGCAGTAGCACTAGTGGGGGAGTTAATATCCAGCTTAGTTTGAGTGAGCTGCCTACTTCTGTTTCCAGGGTAATGACTTCAAAATATTAACAAATTTGGATGAAGTCATGAAGATTTTTCTCTCCTCCCCTTGTTTTCATTTGACAAAAGAGCCAGTTAAAATATTGCTGAGGTTTTTAAAATAATTCTTATAGCAATGCATTTATTAGTTTGTTCCGATTAAATGCATATGAATAAACCATTAAACAAAAATTGAGGAATTGAGGCAATTTTCATTACTGGTCCAGGTCCAAAAATTGAGCATGATTGAAGAGAGGCAATATTTGAGTTTCAACTTGCCTTAACTGGATTTTGAATTAGGTGACTATTGACCAATGATTATACAATAACTGTACTGACCTCATTTTTTCTTTTAAGTACAATCTAATCAAGCTTATATTTAATCAGTAACTTATTGGCTATTAACTTTTCAGCCAACATCTTTATTCTCTTTATTATTTCTACTATTGCTATGCATGACAATCAAACTGAGCAAAAATTTCAAGACTACCAATAAGTTGTAAGCCAATATTGAGGTTGCACATGACAAAAAATTGAACACAGAAGGAAATAAAATTATTTTGTGTTCAAGGACATTAAAAAATAATGGAGAACATTAAACCTAAGAATTATAAAAAGCGTTATAGGAAAGACTTTTTAAGTATGATAAAGTGAGTTATAAGCAAATTTTTGTTCCCACATAATGAATGCTTTTCACATGCTGCAGAGTTCGACACTTTAGCAGGGATATTTACCCGCATTGTAACTTGTACCTCAGCTGCTTAGGATTTGTTTTATGTATTTCTTACTCTTCAATTTCTAATGTGAGTATATAAACTGCACTTTTGAAATTTATTTAGAATCTGAATCATAAAATGAAATAGATTACTGAATAAATGTTAGTAAAAGGGCAAAGATTTTTGCTGTTGTTGTTTTCTTGTGTTTTTTGAGAATGGGTCTCACTATGTTGCCTGGCATGTCCTAGAACTCACTATCTTTCTAGTCTATCTTAGCCCCGAACTCATAGAGATCTGCCTGTCTCTGCTTCCTGAGTGCTGGAATTATAGTTGCCCTCCACCATGCCATGCCAAGATGACCGTAATGGTATCTTTAGTAACAAATGATGAAAGAAATGAAGGAAATAGCACATTAATTTTAATATATGAGAGGTAATAACAGGAGCTATCGATATGCAAACTTTCATTCACAGAAAATTATCTATATGTGATTTAAAAGTATGCCTAAACCAGTGGGAGAAATTTTGGTCTGAAAATTTTGAGATAAAGACAATTTTTCCTGATCCAGCAGAATGTTATAATTGTAGAAGTATAAAAAAACCAGAAATCCATAAAGAATTCCTGAACACACTTGGAACATGAGTACTTGAAGACCCAGAGACAGACATTGGGGTTCAAGCTGAAGATCAGATAAGCAAAGCAGCCAGCCAATAGCTCTTACCTCTACCTCAGCCCTAAATGGGTGATCCTGTCTCCAGGAATCCTCAGAGTACAATGCTCTCCCTGAGACCCTTTGCTTATTCCTTTTAAACTTCTCTAGTGCTGGGATTAAAGGGGAGAGCTCTGTTATTCTTTTGTGCTGATTCACTCTCCTGTAGACTTGGGTGGCCTTGAACTCACACATATCCATCTGCCTGTCTTCTGAGTCCTGGGGTTATAAAGTGTGTATCACCACTGCCTGACTCCATGGCTGTGACCACCTTTGCATTTTGATCCCCAGTGACTACAAGGTCATGAACAATCTGTCACCATGCATACTCATCTGTAAACCTCAAGGAAGAAAGTGACATAAAGAGGGAAGTGAAGCTAAGTACCAATTAGTGAAAATGGGAGAAGCTTGTGCTACTGTAAATGTTATTGATTCAGGATAAAGTAAGGGCGGGGGAATCAGCAACCGCAATAGATGCATTGGGATTGAGTTGACCTTTTTCTTAGTTTCTTTCCTGTTGTGATAATCTATCCTGACAGAAGCAACATAAGGGAAAAAAGGAATTTCTTGGTACAAAATCAAGGTTACCAACTATCATGGTAATGATAAGAAAGTGACAACAGTAGGAGTGTGCTGCCTAGAGCAGAGAGCGGTATAGTAATGCATTCTGGTGTGCAGTTCACTTTCTCCAGTCTTATATAACCCTTGACTATGCCTACAGATTGATGAAACCCACCATGGGTGGATCTGCTCATCACACTTTACATGACAGATATAATATACCCCCATGAGACATGCCCAAATGCTATTCTGATCTAGGTATTCCCTTACTTAGACTCCCTTCCAGATGATTCTAGAATGTGTCATGTTGATAATTAAAACTATCCATCACAGAAGTAAAATAATAAAGCTTTTTTCAAAAGATTCAGGGCAAAGTTAAGAGAAACTCAATGACAGGTTTCTTTTGCTATGTTTATAATCTGTAAATTGTACTTATTGTTGCCTGGATTATGAAATTGTTATAAGTATTAGAGAGAACTGAGCATATTATTAAGAAATTATTAAGAAAGTAAGCAAGTATTACCTGTTTTTTAGTTACTAAATTCATTCTTCTTACGGTCTTTGGTTACCAAACACATCTTTTGTTCTTTTGGAACTTCCCTTCTTCTATCAGGGAACCAGCTCAGCAAGTTGCTACTAAGTCTGTTTCCATTGGCTCTTCAGTTACTAGGGAAACTTTGGTTGGAGATTATTGACTCTTCAGGAGGACAATGCCCACATGACCAATGTATTTATTTGCAACTTTCAACAACCTCAATTTTAAGAGATACTGGAATTCATACTAATATTGGATCTGCTGACTTAATCAGCAGTGCACTCTCGCTGGATTTTTTGCATATAAGAGATGAAGCATCATCCACTAAGTAATACATTTTGCAAAAACATTTCTTTTTGTTTCCATGGAGTACTGTTTTTAAGGACCAGACTTCTGGGTACCAAGTTTTAAGTCAAAGGCTTGGATCCTAAGCTCCTGCATCCCTGGGTTCAGGCACAATGCACTTAAAGTGATAATTATTTTTTGTTGTTGTTATTTTAACATAGATTATTTTTTTTCATCTTGAGGTTCCTTACTCCATCAGGTGAACTGATAATGAAGCCTTTCACTAACATCTTTTCAGAAATGATCAATTTGAATTTGAGCCAAATTTAGAACCAGATATTCTCTGATGTTCCATAAGTAACGTCCTCCTTCCTGCATTTGGAGACAAGTTTTTGTGATTTGTTTTTCATAATTCTGCACATCTTGTAAGTAGGGACTATCTTTTGTTGCCAAATACTCATTAAGGACGTCTGTATAATAACCACCTTGGAAGATCATGAATTCTTATAAATCAGCAAGAGAGAATATCTCTCTGTTTTTTTCCAGGTTCCAGAAATTAACTAACTCCCTTGGCTGGTGGCCAATATTCTCCCATTCTTTAAGCCAGAAAAATGAACATTTTCTGAGATTTCACCATTCACATACATGAATAATTCCCTTTTTATGATTATATCAAGCCTACCTAGTTAATAGGAAGATCTGCATCTAAAATCTTCCAATTTATTATATCTATGAAAGTTGTATTGTCATATAACTGTTTTACAGTTTCTAGGAATACAGGAATGGATATTTCTGAAGGGAAGTATTCTCCCATGGCAACTCGTGTGTGTGTGTGTGTGTGTGTGTGTGTGTGTGTGTGTGTGTGTGTGTGTGTGAGACATACCTCCTGTGACAGTGGAGCAATCCTTACTTCCACTTATTAGATGTCAGTCAGATGTTCAAGCCAATACCCTTTTAGCTTCCCATATATAGGGTAGTTTTGCTGTCAATATTTCCTCAGTCTCTAAGTTCCAGTATTAACTGAGTGTGTGAATTTATGTGTCTTCACTATGACTATTAAAAAGTTTTAAAGAATTGACTGTTTTCTTCTGGCATTATTATATGTTTATATTTTCTAGAATCCATGGCATGTAGGAAGCTACATACTGAGCAAAATCATCTCTTCTATCAAGAATATTTTTGTTGTTATATTTTGACAGTGACATGTAATGTGTGAGTTACATTTTTCCCATTTAAATTTTTGGCAATTTCATATATTTTTATAATTATTTTAATCATTTAACCCCTATCCCTTCCTTTAGGTCCTGGCCCTTTCTCTCTTAACATACTTCTGAATGTGATTCCTCTCCGGATTTCATGTCTTCTTCCTATATGTGCCCCACACAGTTTAATTAGAGCTACTTTCTCAAGCATTGAGTAGGGCTTCCTTCTTTAGTGTTTAATACCCCAACACTTTTCCAATGCTTTACATATCCAGGACTGTCTTGTTTGTTGCTTTCTAATTTTCTGCTCTTTGGAAGTGGTTATGATATTGAATGCAGCAGGTATCACAATAATATCAGTGATGTGGGTAGGATGCCCTGTAATTGGGAATGGAATCTCAGTAACAAACTTGGAAGAAAACTTAAGTATTTAATCTATTTTAGTTATCTTCTAGACATTCACCAACCACTTTCCCCTATTTGTTGGATACAGCTTTTCTGCCTTTTCAGTCTTTCCTGAGGGTTGTAAGCAGTATGGTGGTGAGATATCTTTAGATGATCCGTTTTCATTGTCATCACCATATGGGGTTTGTCATCCAAGAGTGGGCTGGAAAGTATGGGAAGGAAAAATTAAATTCCTCTTTCAATTTAATCTGCAAAGATCCTGATAAAATGTGTCTTTTCCGTATTACTTTAATTTGCCTGACTTGTTTTGAACACATGGTAAAATTGACTATATGAAGTTATACCAAGATGGCTAGCAGTGTGAAGAAAGAAAGTGTGGCAATAAGCTTACCTTCTACTTCCATTATTATTGTGTTTGCTTGAACCAGAGATTTATAACAAGCAAGACAGGGGAACAAAAATATTCTTTGAACTAAACTGTAGTAAGATTTTCAAATTAATTTCTTTTGATGTTAGGAAAATGAACATTTTTAAACATGTTGGTGTTATATAAATGACTTCCAAAGATGAAATTAAAGGAAACCTTTTCACCTACAAATTTCCCATTTTAAATAGTTCAAATGCATGTAAATTAACACTGGTGGTATTCAAGCATTATCTACAAAGCATATGCAAATGAAAGAATAGTGATGAAAAAGTAGATCATAAAACTATCATTTTAATGAGTACCTTGACTTTGTTAAGTCTCCTACCTCTAATGTTACTGATATTTGAATTAATCAGCACTCCACTGTGAGGAACTATCTTGCCAGGTACAGGGTTTCAGTATAGGCTATGCTCTCTTCTAGCTAGATAAAAGTAGAAACCTCTTTCCCCCATGGTGACCACTAAAAATATACTCACACATGATGAAATGTCATTTGGAGGATAAAATAGCATGCACTTGAGCACAATTGTTTTAAGACTTAGTGATTTTCTGAAGCCTTTCCCTATATTTTATCTAATTATAAAGTCATATGAATCTTTAGAAGAGTTAAAACAGGTTACAGATGATGAATATTAATTATATAAAATGTAACTTATTCACATAACAATTATCTAGTTGTATAATTATAGCTCTGATACCATTTTTATCTTTGAAATAGTTTTTCCTCATTATCAGTAGTTGTCAAACTTTGATGTGTATCACAACCAATATTATATATCACAAAAAACCACCACCATGTAAGTGTCCAATTCCAATGGTCTAGAATAGAGCTCAATGATAAGGTTTTCTTAAAGAGCTCCTTGGAGACAGTGTTGTCCTAGAGAAAACATACAAGATATAAATGTAGAGAGAAAATCATATTTGATTATCATTTGAAATTTGTATAATCCATATAAAATAACACAACTTTTCCATGGTTCTGAATAAGTTCCAGAATTACAATTTCCTTTGAGACTCCTGTTAAACAACAACAAAAACAAGATGACTTTCCGATGAAAAGTGGTGACAATGTGTCTAGAAAATAAAATATGGAGATCCGCACTTCCTCAAGGACCCCATCAAAGATCTCCTTTGCAATATTTTTATAACAAGGAAAAATAATTTTAAAAAATTCCTTGGGTCACTAGCACACATTCTATGTATGTGCTATAGCTCATTCATAGTGTAAGGATAGAATTTTAAATACCACATCTATGACATAGAGTATTTTTTAAAAGAGATGATTGTCTTCTATGGTCTATGTTCTACTATCACTGAAACATTTTAAAGTCTTAAAATTAAGATGAAAATGGCACTGACATTTCATATAGTTCTTTTTTTTCCTCAGATGCCAGAGTGGCCATGAATTGATATAACATGATCTGTCAGTAAACTTCAGTTGCTTCTCCTAGGATTTCATGCTCTTGGGTTTTACCTCATTGTCAGGTTGGGAAGTTTAACTTCTCATCTTTTTAATTGGTGTGGTCTGATGCTGCAATTCCTCATTCTTCATCAGTAGTAAGTGATATCAGATAGCATTTTAAAGTTTTTGATATTGCATGTCATACCATAGCAGGTTTCACCTGCTTAATAATTGGTCAACCACCTAAAAAGTACAAGAATTGATTATGTAGCTATTTGATAAATATTAACAGATTTTGTTCCTTTTCTTAGCTGACAAAATGAATGAACAGTTAAAGAAGCAGCTTCATTCTTTGTCTATATAAAAGCATGATTATTTCAATCTTTTCCCTTGGAGAACATTTCTTTTTTCACCTGTGTATAACATTAGAAACAATTTCTGTAGTTATGCAAATCTCTCACAGCTTTTGTGAGTCACTTATCCATAGCAACAGGAGATTTCATCATTTAACAGATGAAGAGATTCTCATGGATTTATGTTTGCCCTTCTCTGTGATTCATAATGTGTAATTTTCTCAAGCAAATTCTGTATGAGAAAGTGGTCTCAGAGTAATGAGGTGATGGAAATTGTGAGAAGACCACTGGTATAATTTTCCAGAAAAATAAATGCAAATTGTTTGCTACTTATCTAAATCATCCTTTTCTCTCTAGTGTAGACATGCCATAGTTAGTCACTGGGCACCTCAGTTTCAAGGAGTTACTACCTAGAAAAATAGTAAATAGCACGAGTGAGAAAACAGAAAACAATGACAAAATTGTCTCATGTTCTATACAGTCACAGGAATTAGGTTCATTGAGAAGTTCATGAAATTAACATTGAATTAAAAACAATATGATCTCTAAAAAAAAACAGTGGGCAGCAGCACTTATTATTAGGACAGATAGAATCCCCAGAAGAGTTCTGGCATAGCTTGTCTGACCTAGAACAAAGAATATTTTTACAATCTTCTCATCCACAAACTGTAGACAAGAGATGTATTTGCACTTTCCTCTTAGCAAATGTGTTATGCATGAAGAAGCTTTAAATCAATGTATAGAACAATTCTGTTTCTTAATAAATACATATTATCTTTGTGTATGCAGCAATCTATGACAGTTTGTCTTACCCTGTTCTCCTTGCAGAGGATTCATACACAATCAATGACATATGATATATTATTGGAGCCATACATTTATCACCTCCAGGTAGGGTTTTTGTTTGCTTGAATTTGAGCTGTTTCAGCAAATCTATTTTTAGTGCACTTTATATTCCTACCTTAAAGTGGCATGTTTTAATACAAAAGAAAAGAATCTATGGATTTTTGTAAAAACTAAAAATGGCTACTTTTTCCAGGTTTAAAGTAATATTTGTATGCTTAATGTAGTAATTATGAAATCTACATTTTCTATTTTACAACCATATGCAAGGCTATGTGTTATTAATTCAGTTAAGATAAATTTTTGGTGTCTAAATATTGGATAAGCTTGTACTGTATAATTTGAAGTACAAAATTAAGGATTAAATATAAAAGAATAAGAAGGAATATATATGGCTAATTTATCACAGAGAAAATAGCAACGCAGATTTTTTTACTCTGTGGCTGCTACTTGAAGCATATTTAATGTTGTCAATGAAATGGCAGCTTTGATTATTTTACCAGTGTTGTGATGGCAGACATTATTGATGATGGCTAGAAAGAGAGAATTCAGTTATAAGAGTGTTTAGCTGGGCTAGAGAGATGACACAGGCTAAAAGTGCTTGCTTCTCTCTGTTGGACCATGTTCTATTCCCAAAATCTACATGTGACATCTCACAAAAACTACAACTCCAGTTCCAAGTAATACAAATGAAACCCTTTTCTGGTGTCTTTAGGCACCAGACAAATATATGATGCATATGTATATGGGCTTACATCTGTGCATAATATTAAACTAAAGAAATATTTGTTTAAAGAATGTTTAACTGATTAGGTGATATAACTCAGACATAGACTTTCCTCATTGTATAACTTGTGTTCCTTTTCTATTGAAGTCCTTAAAAGTGTTCATTTATCACTCCTATTCAGGCAAAAGATGTACTGAGATGCAATGGTATGTGGAAGTAGAAATGAGAGAGGGAGAAAACTCTTCAGAAGCGATCAGATTTAAAATACTCTAGTATTATTTGGGGCTGTCTAACAAAATGCCTTCAGTATCCAACTAAACCCTGATTTGAAAGTTCATATATATCAGGATTAAAAATCCTAACATGCATGTATAATAGAAAAGAATGTATACAGTGAAGACCTTTAGAACACACGAAATCCTACTAGATTACATACTGCTTTCATTTCTAAGGGTTCACAATTAAATCTGAACTATATAAATATGCCATCTTCTGTAGAAGTGGAAATACGCAGTTTCACATGTTCTATGCTAAAGTCAATTAATAAGTATTAAGCAGAACAATACTCATATTTTAGTTTGGAGCCTAGCCTTTAACTGCTGAACCATGGTATGTCCTAATTTACATTGTATATTAGTTGTTAAGTTAAGCATATTCATGCTCTATTCCAGAGATCCAGAAACCCTAAGTAACACAAAACACTCACAAGTGGAATTAGTGGATCTCCCTGGGAAAGAAAAACAGAATAGATTCAGCTGGGGAATGGGAACAGGAGAGGCCAGGTTGTTAGGCATGGAATGAAGACAGAGTTTGGAGAGAGACGACTGATACTGGATAGCTTTTGTGGGGAACCTAGTGTAGTGTAGTAGAATCTCCCAGGATTCTATGAGGATTATCCTACCAAGAATTCCTCTTAAAGGAATATACAGATCCTGAACCAGTCATCCTTTGTAACCAGGTAAGGCGTCCAGGGGTTTTACAGGGACACCAACCTAACCACTAAACCTTCCACCTGTAATCTATTGGCCCACAAGATTACCTGAGGCAATGAAGGCACAGAATTTCTGGGAGTGGCTGACCAATTACTGGTCTAATTTGAGACCTATCCCACAGAGGGAACCCGTGCCTGAAACTTCCCTGACAACCAGTAACAGGAAACTGGAGAACTCAGAGACATGGGAGAGAAAAAAAAAAAGATCAATAAAACGATTCTTTAGTGATATTCTGCTATGCTCATGGATCGGTGAATTGTCATCAGAGGCTTCCTCGGACCCCATATGGGAGCAGATTCAGAGACCCACAGGGAAACGAACATTAGGCTGAGAGACCAAATTGAACACCTCCCTCTGGTCCTTTCCTTTGGAGCTCAGGGAATTCCTTGAAAGAGGAAAAAGAAGAAAAGTAGGAGTCAGTGGGTTTGAGGATACCAGCAGAATAAGGCTCACCAACTCAACTAAGCAGGTCTCATAGGGGCTAACAAAGACTGCAATGACAATCTTGGAGACAGCATGGGTCTGCATTAGGTCCCCCGTAAATGTCCTATGGGTGTTTAGCTTATGTTTTTGGTACTCTTAACATAGGAGTGGGAGTATCTCTAACTCTTTTATCTTTTGGTGGGGCCCTTTTTCTCCTACTGGGTTGCCTGGTCCATCGTTGGTACAAGGGTTTGTGCCTAGGCTTATTGTATCTTTTTATGCAGTGTTCATATTCCTGGGAGATCTCCATTTTTCTTAAGCAAAATGGAGAAGAATTGGAATTGGGGGAGAGGGGATGTGAAGCAGGATAGAGAGAGGGGTAGCTGTAGTCTGGATGTATTGAAAAGGTAAAGCAAAAACATAATGGAGAAAACCACAGAAACAGCTGACCTAACCAAGTGGGAACATGGGAACACCCTTCATAAAACTAGGGAACCAGCATTGGACCCAACCAAGCCTTGTAAATGTGGGTGTCGGTTACTAGGTGTGGGCAGTATATGGTACTTCTGACAGTGGAACCAGTATTTATCCCTTTTGCACAAATGGAATTTGGGATTCCATTCCCCATGGAGGGCTGCTCTCTCAGCCTAGATATATGGGGGATATGACAGACTTTGATGATCCTCCATGGAAGGCCTCACTTCCCTGGGGGGCAAATGTGTGGGGGTAGATGAGGGCCATGGGAGGATGGGAGGGAGAGATAACTGGAATTGATATGTAAAGTAAGATTGTTTCTAAATTAAAACAGGAAAAAAGAAAAGATAAAAACACAAATAGAATCATATTTGAGCAAGCATAGATGCTTTTTCAAGAATTGAAGAATGCAAAATATGTATGAAGTGTGTTATTGTTGTTGTTGCTGTCTTGTTTAAGTTTGCTTTTTTATTGTTGTTAATTTGTATTCTGCTGCTGAAAATGTAAATTAGAAGCACAATGAATTAAGGTGACCGATGTGGTGATCCTTTAAGCTACTATACTTAATTCTAACTGGCTTGCTGTTTAAATTCTCACTCACCTTGTCAAAATCAGTAAGCTAAATCTAATGGCAACCATTTCTTTACATATTAATAAGTGTACCTTCAGTTAATTTTACATTCAAAGTTATTATTTTAGATGAAAATAAATTTAACTTAGCATTTCTCACAAACACAATAAGGAAATAAATACAGCAACAACAACAAAAAACTGTCGCTCTTCATAGCTATACATGTCTGCAATCCAAGCACCTGACTTAAATTAAGACAAGATGTTAGACCGAACAATATAGTAAGTTCCAAGCCAAGCAGCGCTACAAAACAAAAAGCCGTATTATCATTTTTTGTCTTTCTATATATTCTCAAGCACTGTAAAGGACATTCTTTATTATAAAAATATCAAAAGTAGTACCAACTTACTTAATTAAACTTATTACAAAACTAGAACTTGACAAATACTGTCTCATTTCAGTTTTCCCTCCCATTAATGACAGAAATTCTTCCCTATGGAGGACAAACAGAAAAGTGAATATTTGAAATAGATGTCAGAACCTATGATCATGAAATGTAACCAATATTCAAGTACAGGTATGCCTCATCCTAAAACATGTTATATACCAGGATAATATAATATTCCACCAATCTTAGGGGGGAGTTTTTTACTTTGTCTACATGGCATATTTCTAAAAGATAGAGGGAAAGTTCTCATATAAGGTTGATTTGTGCTTGGTTTTCAAGGTTAGCCATTGAATCTGCTAAGGAAAAGAAGAGGACTGTAAATTTATTAAAAAAATAAGAGAAAGGTAAATTATTTTTATTTGTGTTTAATATTTAACCAAAGCAGTGGTTTTAAACATATTCTTTCAATTGAATGTTTTATTAATATAATGTCCACATCTGGTATTTTTAACAATAATAAATGGGCTGTTTTGATGGAAGCTGAAACAGGACATTTTGCGAGTGGGCTTCTGCACCTCTCCCCTGTTCTCAGTGTTGAACCCTGTGCTTGACAGACAACTGTGTCACAGGGCTGTCAGCGACTTCCCTTGAAGTTATGTGATGGCAGGTTAAGATTGGGAGATAGACAATGGGGAGAAAACTCCCCTGTCAATTATTTTGGGCTGATCTAGATAGTTTATATTACTATTTTTTCCACATTTTGCCATGACTATCTATCCTCATCAGTTACTATAAGCACACAGTATTTCCAAGTTGCCAGCATGAGTAAACCACCATTTTGACACATTTACAACCTCCTTAATAGTTTCATTTTGTATTCTTTTTTCACAGTCACTAGCCAAGATTCCAAAATGAAAATATTCATTCAAGAAGAATTGCTGAAATAATAGAAGGATCAACATAGTTAGGTTTATTTTTAATTGTAAGCAAATGATGGTAATGCATTTTTATATGAAACCTCTGCGTGTGCGTGTGTATGCATTCTTATTGCCTTGTGTATGACATTATGACAATTGAATAATGCCTCCTATTTGTACTCACAAATTCATCACAGGAGGGCAATCTTGTTTGTCTATTTTTATGGTCCTTGTACCTCTGAACATGATAAATTCTCTATACTTCTGAGTTGAATTATTAGCTAATTTGTATTAAATTTTGTGTTTCCATTTTAACACAGACAAACCTGGAAGAGAATAACACCTTTTTATTTGACTTTGTCTAACATATTAATTCACTATTTTGCACTGTTATTATTGAAGGAATTAAAGTGCTCACTTCACTTTCACTGCATATGTATAAATTAAGACTTGAGTTAACTTCAGTGTGGGGGCAAAGCTGGGCAATTACCACGTGGGACTCACAAAGACTTTTTATGAGATAGCAGTATTATGGGTGAGTTTTTTTTTTCTTTTGCAATTTTACGGCATTCTTCTCATGATAGTTCTTAATATGTGAGTTGTAAAAGATGCTGGAATTGTAGAGTCATCCTTCATTTTAGGAGAATCAACAAATAAAAGTTCAGTGATCTGTTTTATTCACAGTGTTGGACAATGAAAACTATTTGGAATTTCAGCACTGATATTTATGAAGAGGCATCTACACCGGTCACTGTGGGAGTGATGTGGTACTAGTGATATATATTCAAGTTGCTTTTGTTTGGAAATAAATTAATTTTTACATACTATTTGTGAAGTTAAATGTACTTTATCATAATATAAAATATGGAGATTTAGATGAGATCACAGTGTCAACTTTAATGGACTGAGTGGCTGATGCTTTTTTTTTTATTTTAGAAACACTCTTATTTACACATCAATTTCCCCATTCCCTCGCCATCACATCCTCCCATTCTCCACACCTATGCCCCAAACCCACCTCCCACTATCTCCCTAAGGATAGTGAGTTCCCGCAGGGGAGGCCATCAAAGTCCATCACATCATTTGGGGGAGAGCCTAGACCTTTTTCTTATATCTGGGCTACAATAGTATCCCTCCATGGGGAATGGGATCTCAAAGTCTATTTGTGTTCTAGGGATAAACACTGGCTCCACTGTTTGTCCTGGCCTCCTAGCTGGCATCCACATTCACAGGGCTTGGTTTGGTCTATTGCTGGTTCCACAGCTAAGAGTAGGATATCTGTGCTCTCTCTAGGCCAGGTCAACTCTTTCTGCAGATTTCTCCAGCACCATCCAGCACCATCTTGACTCCTTTGCTCATCCCTCCACCCTCTCTGCAAGTGGATTCCAGGAGTATGGCTCAGTGTTTAGCTATGTGTGCCTGTTTCTGCTCTCGATCAGCAACTGGACGGACGCTCTAGGAATGGCAAACAAAGTAGTCACCGGTCTCATTGTAGGGGAAGGACGTAAAAGGCAGCCTCTCCACCACTGCCTAGATTATAAGCTGGAATTATTCCTGTGAATCATCTAAATATTTTCCTGAGCCAGACCTCTTTCCAAACCTATACTGGCTCCTTCTATTAAGGCATCTCCTTTCTTGCCCTTCTCTAGTCCTCCCCTGTCTCATTCCTCCTGTTATCTCCTGTTTGCTTCCCCCTTCCCTTTTTCCCCTCTCACTTTCCCACCTCCTTCCTCTCCCCCCCGCACCCCATGCTCCCAATTTTGTCAGGAGTTCTTTTCTCCCTGTCCTTTATAGGGGGACCATGCATTCTTCTCTTGGGGTCCTTCTTGTTTGCTGGTTTCTCTGGTGGTGTGGATTGTAGGCTGGTAGTCCTTTAATCTATGTCTAATATCCATATATGAGTGATTCTGTGATTGGTTACCTCACTCAGGATATTTTCTTCCAGTTCCATCCATTTGCCTTCAAGTTTCATGATTTCATTGTTTTTTATTCCCCTGCGTAATACTTCATTTGCACTCCCACCAGCAATGGAGGAGGGTTCCTCTTTCTCCACATCCTGTCCAGCATAGACTGTCATTGGTGTTTTTTATTTTAGCCATTCTGGATGGTATAAGATGATATCTCAGAGTTGTTTTGAGTTGCATTTCCCTGATGGCTAAGGATGCTGAGCAGTTTCTTAAGCATCTGTCAGTCATTTTAGAATCCTCAATTGAGAATTATCTATTTAGTTCTGCACCCTACTTTTTCATTGGATTGTTAGATATTTTGGTGACTAGTTTCTTGAGTTCATTGAATATTTTGGAAATCAGCCCTCTGTCAGGTGAAGGATTGATGAATATCTTTTCCCAGTCTGTGGGATACTTTTTTGTCTTGTTGATTGTGTGTTTTGCCTTACAGAAGCTTCTCAGTTTTAGGAGGTCCCTTTTATTAATTGTTGATCTCAGTGTTTGTGCTACTGCTGTTACGTTCAGGAAGGGTTCTTCTGTACCAATTCGTTCAAGGGTACCTCCCACTTTCTCTTCTAAGAGGTTCAGTGTTGCTGCATTTAAGTTGAGGGCTTTGATCCATTTGGAGTTCAGTTCTGTGCATGGTGATAGATATGGATCTATCTGCAATCTTCCACATGTCAGCATCCAGTTAGGCCAGCACCATTTGTTGAAGATGCTTTCTTTTTTCCATTGTTTAACTTTAGCTTCTTTTTCAAAAATCTGGTGCACATAGGTGTGTGGGTAAATATCAAGGTTTTCAGTTCGATTCTACTGGTCTGCCTGTCTACTTTTGTGCCAGTATCAAGCTGGTTTCTGTAATAGAGCTTGAAGTCAGGGATGGTGATGCCTCCAGAAGTTGCTTTGGATGTCCCGGGGTTTTTGTTTTTCCCTATAAACTTAAGTATTATTAATTCAAGGTATGTGAAGAATTGTGTTGGAATTTTGAATGAGATTGCATCGAATCTGTAGATTGCTTTTGGCAAGATTGTCATTTGTACTAGGCTTATCCTACCTATCCAAGAGCATGGGGGGTCTTTGCATTTTCTGGTATCTTCTTTAATTTATTTCTTCAAAGACTCAAAGTTCTAACTATAAAGGTCTTTCACTTGTGTGGTTACCATTACTCTAAGATATCTTATGTTCTTTGTGGCCATTGGAAAGGGTGATGTTTTCCTGATTTCTTTTTCAGCCCATTTATCATCTGTATATAGTAGAGTTACTGATTATTTTTACTTAATCTTGTATCTTGCAACTTTACTGAAGGTGTTTATCTGCTGGAGGAGTTCTCTGGAAGAGTTTTTCAGGTCACTTATGTAAACTATCATAAAATCTGCAAATAGTGAAAGTTTGACTTTTTCCTTTCCAAGTTGCATCTCCTTGATTTTCTTTTGTTGCCTTATTGCTCTAGTTAGAACTTCAAGTACAATATTGAAGAGATATGGAGAGAGTGAACAGCCTCATCATGTTCCTGATTTTACAGTAATTGCAGTGTGCTTCTCTCCATCTAGTTTGATGTTGGCTGCTGCTTTGCTGTATATTGCTTTTATTATGTTTAGGTGTGTTTTTGTGTTATTCCTGATCTCTACAAGACCTTTATCATGAAGGGGTGTTGGTGTTTGTCAAAGGCTTTTTCAGAATTTAGTAGATTATCTTGTGGTTTTTCTTTTCCTGTTAACTTATATGGTAGATTAAATTAATGCCTTTTTCTATGTTGAACCATCCCTGCATTCCTGGAATAAAGCCTACTTGACCATAGTGGATGATTTTTCTGATGTGTTATTGTAATCGATTTGCCAGTATTTTATTGAGTATTTTTGCATCAATGTTCATCAGAGATATTGGTCTGTTGTTCTCTTTCTTAGTTGTAACTGTGTGTGGCTTGTGTACCAAGGTAATTGTAGTCACATAAAAGGAGTTTGGCAGTGTCCCATCTGCTTCTATTGTTTGCGAGAATTTGAGGAGTACTAGTGTTAGCGCTTCTTTGAATTTCTGGTAGAAATTTGCATTGAAACAATCTGACCCTGGGCTCTTTTTGGTCGGTAAACTTTTGATAATTACTTATATTTCAATAGGGGTTACATGTCTATTCAAATTGCCTACCTGTTCTTGATTTAATTTTGGTGAGTGATAGCTATCCAGGATATTGTCCATTTCCTTTAGGTTTTCAAATGTTGTGGTTTACAGGTTTTGAAAGTATGACCTGATGATTCTCTGGATTTCCGTTGTGTCCATTTTTTCATGTCCCCCTTTTCATTTCTGATTTTGGCAATTAGCATGTTCTCTCTCTGCCTTTAGGTTAGTTTGCATAAACTTTTGTCTAACTTGTTGATTTTTTTTTTTGAAGAACCAAGTCTTTGTTTCCTTGATCCTTGTATTGTTTTCCTAGTTTCTTCTTGATATTTTCTCTCTCAATTTGATTATTTTCTCGTGTCTGCTCCCCTGAGGTGAGTTTGCTTCTTTTTGTACTAGAGTATTCAATTGTGCTGTTCATTCTCTAGTGTGACTATCCTCCAGTTTCGTCATTGAATTCTAAAAAGTCTTTAAAATCATTTTTTATTTCTTCTTTGACCCAGGAATGGTGTAGTTGCACATTGTTCATTTTGTGGTGTTGTCGAATTCTAACCGTAAACCATGGTGGTCCAATAGGATACAGGGGGTTATTCCAATTTTTTTCATCTGTTGAGGTTTGCTATGCTGCTGACCATTTGTTAAATGGGTTATAACTTCTGTTAGTTACTTTGTTTCTTTGTTAAGTTTATGTCTGGTAGTTCTGTCTAGTAGTGAGAGCAGGGTGTTGATGACTCCCAGTAAGAGGTTTTATGTGTGATTTGAGCCTTAGTAATGTTTCTTTTAGGAAGGGGGTTCCTTTGTATTTAGGGCCTAGATGTTCAGAATTGAGACTTCATGTTGATGAACTTTCCCTGTGATGAACATGAAGTGACCTTCTTTATGTCTTTTGATTAATTTTAATTTGAAATCTAATTTGTTAGATAATAGGATTGCTACACCAGCTTGTTTCTTGGATCCATTTGATTGGAAAATATTTTCTCAATCATTTACTGTGAGGTAACCTCTGTCTTTGACAAATATGTTTCTTGTGTGCAGCAGAAGAATGGATTCTGTATTCGTATCCATTCTATTAGCCTGTGTCTTTTTATAGGCACATTAAGATCATTGACATTGAAGAATATTAATGACCTTTTGATCGTTGTTTGTTTTGGATTTGTTGGTGGTGATATTATTGTGTGTGGATATCTTCCCCCTGACCCCCCTTTTTTTCTATTGGTGTCTGGTAAAGTGGGATTATCTATTACCTCTGCTTTTGTGAGAGCTGTTATCTTCGTTGGGTTGGAGTTTTCTTTCCAGTACTGTCTGAATGACTGGATTTGTGGATATGTATTGTTTAAATATGTTTTTTCATGGAATATCTTGTTTTCTCTATAGTGGTTGAAAGCTTTGCTGGGTATAGTAGTCTGGGCTGGCATCCATGTTTCCTTATTGTTCATAGATCAACTATCTAGTACCTTCTGGCTTTCAAAGATTCTATTTAAAATTTGGGTATAATTTGCATAGGTCTGCATTTATATGTTACTTGTCCTTTTTCTTTTGCTGCTCTTTATATGTTTTCTTTATTCTGTAAGTTTGGTGTTTTGATTAGTATGTGGAGAGGGGACTTCTTTTTGTCGTTCAATGTATTCGGTCTTCTGTAAGCTTCTTTTACTTTTATAGGCAGATCCTTCTTTTGGTTGGAGAAAAATTCTTTTATGATCTTCCTGAATATGTTTTCTGTACCTTTGAGTTGTATTTCTTCACCTTCTTGTGTACTTATTATTCTTA